GGTCTCTGTTGACATTATTTAGATGCTTGACTATTGATATATGGCAGTTTAATGTTTGATAAAAACCAGAGATGGAAGTAGTGGTTATATACGTATAATGTAGCATTAATCACTTTACCTGTGGTTTGTTGATAGTAATTATATTTATCTTTTTGAGACAAGATCTCTCTATGCAGTTCAGGCTGGTTTTGAGCTCACTTTGTAACTCAGGCTGGTCTCAAATTTGCAGTGATCCCTGCCTTGACCTCACTAGTGCTGGGATTATAGGCATGGGCCTCCATGGCCAGCTTTTATTTTTTTATTTTGGACAGTATCTTGGTATGTAGTTTACACTGGCCCAGAATTTATAATGATCTTTCTGCCTCAGCCTCCTGAGTGCTGGGGTTACAGGTGTCTGCCACCACACCTGGGCCAAAGGATTACTTTTTGAAGAAACCAAAATTTTGCATGTGCATTGTGTTAAAAGTATGATGAAAGGCAAGCAACCTTGTTTTGTTTTGCAGTGCTCAGGATAAAGCCTAGAGCTTAATATATGCTAGGTAAGTGCTTAGCCACTGAGCAACATCCCAGCCCCAAAGGCAACATATCTTTGTATTTTTTCCTTAGAGGAACAGCTTGCTTCCTTTCATTCTTTTCTCTTTTTTTCCCTTTGGCCATGCGGTCTTGCTAAATGGCCCAGGCTGGATTTAAAGGTTTATGTAATCCTCCTGCCTCAGTCTCCGAGGTACCTGGGACTATAGGCATTGGATCACCAGGCCCAGCTAAGAGGGAAGTATTTGTTTTGTTCTTCGTAATACATCAGTAATGCATACACTGCAAGTTTCAAAATAATATTTATTGAAGTAAAATATACATTCATGAAAGTATATGAATTGTAAACATTTGGGCTGATGAATTTTCACAAAGTGCACATCCAGATCAAGAAATGGACCCCAGAAGCCCCTTCCCATGGTCACCACTCCTGAGTTCTAGTGCCATGCGTCAGGTTGACCTGTCTTCCTCCAGCAGAAATCCTTCTGGCACCTGCCTGGCATTGTCAGTTCTGTGAAGTTTCTTTTGTGGCTGTGTGTTCCTGTTTCCTGATAATGTAAATGGACTGCATTTTCTCCATCCTCTTCCTCCTACAGGACTTGGGGTGAATTCCATCTTAGGGCCACTATGTGTAGTGTTGCTTTACTGTTCCTGGCCTTTGGGTGTATACATGTGCACGCTGGATGAAGGCCTGGGAGTTGCCTTAACTGGCTTGGAAGGCATCTATACTGCCAAAGAGTTTTCAAAGTCCTGGTGCTAATTTATTCTTCCAAAATCACAGTACTTGATTTTTTGACATTAGACTATTAAAAGCAAGGTTTTAGCTTCCTTAACCTCTCTTCCATCCCTTTTAATGATAGTATTTTAAATTATTCATAGTTTTTCAGTGGTGTATGTTATAATCTGAAATAACAAATCTCTGCTCTCCCATTTTTTTTTTTTTTTTTTTTTTTTTGTGCGTGTGTGTGAGACAGGGTCTCACTATGCAGTTCAGACTGACCGCGAACTCACTTTGTAGCCCAGGCTGGCCTCAAACTCACAGCTATCCTCCTGCTTCAGCCTCCTGAGTGCTGAGATTACAGGAGTACACCACCATGCCTGGCTTCTTCCATTAATTGTTATTATTATTTTCTAAACAGAAGGTCTTGTTATGTGTAGTTCAGGCTGCCGCTGCACTCACAATGTAGCACAGGATGGCCCTCAAACTTGTAGTGATTCTCCTCCTCAGCCTCCCAAGTGCTGGGATTATAATGCGTGCTACCATATCTGGCTTTCCCATTACATTTTGTTTGTTTGCTGTGCAGGGGATCAAACTCAGGGCCTTATGTGTGCTAGGTAAGCACTGTTAACATTGAGCTATTTCCCCAACATTTCTCTCTTTTTTTATACCAGGGATCAAACTCACGACCTTGCACTTGCCAGGACAGGTGCTTATGCCACTAAGCTAAACTCCTGGCCCCCACCATTTCTTGATGGTGGTGGTGATAATAATTTTGGTAGTACTTGGGATGGAACCTAGGGCCTTTGCACTGAAATACATCTCTAGTTCTTTCTCTATTTTCTCTTTTGAGAAAGAGTCCTGATAACTTGTTAAATTTCTCAGGCTGGGCTTGAATTTGGAATCCTGTTACCTCAGTCTTCCAGAGTGCTGGAATCACAGATATGTACTCCTATTCCTGACCCATTAAGTTTTATTTACCAGGAATTGAACTCAGGACCTTGTGCTTGCCAGGTAGGTATTCGTGTCACTGAGCTATATCCCTAGTGGGCCCATTAATTTTTGAGCGTTGCTTTTGTCCACATGTGATAAAAGGACATTAGAAGCCAGGTATGGTGACACATGCCTATGATCCCAGCACTTAGGAGGCTGAGACAGGAGGATGGCTGCAATTTCAAGGGCAGCCTAAATTGTAGAATGAGATTATGTCTCAAAAAAAAAAAACAAAAAACAAAAAACAAAAAAACGAAAGGGCTGGAGATATAGCTCAGTGGTGTAAGCATCTGCCTGGCCAGTGTGAGGTCATGAGTTGTATCCCCAGTACCAAACAAACAAAGCAACAGAAGAATATTAGATAGTTATTCCACTTAATGCCTCAGTTGTATTATTCAGAAAGGAAAAAAGACACTCAGGTGTGGTGGCACACACATGTAGTCCCTGGCCTGGCTACATAAACAAGTTCAAGACAAGCTTGTATTATATAGCAAGACCTTGTCTCAAAACACAAACAAATAGTAGTGGGGCGTGGTGGCTCATGCCTGTAATCCCAGCACTTGGGAGGCTGAGGCAGGAGGATCATTGCGAGTTCGAGACCAGCCTGGGCTACAAAGTGAGCTCAAGGCCAGCTTGAACTGCATAGCACGAGACCCTGTCACAAAAAAAAAATCACAAACAAATAAGCAAAATAAAAGAAGAAGAAAACCTCTTTCTGTTACAGAGGAAATGTATAGAATTTACATTCGTGTCACATAGTAACCCAGTAATTGTGTTAGCAACTATCACACATAAAGGAGTAGGGTTAACTGTGGTAGAAGGATGAAATAAAATTACTGATTCAAGGAAAAAAACACTGAAATGAGGCTGTCTTTCCTATGCATAGTATATTATTTAGGCAAGGAGAGCTGCTTAAAATCACAGTTTCTATGGCTTGCTGTGAAGAAATCTTAATGCTGGTTTGCCTGCTGGCCCCGAGGGTGGCTTGTGGAGAATGGCAGTGGGTGGGTGGTGTGTAAGATATTTAGAGCTGCGCTGTTTCTGCCTCTGCCTCTGCCTTCCTGGAGCATCCTGGAGACCTGCCCAGCCACAGTGGGGAAGAGGTGGTAGAGAAAGAGCTACAACTAATTGTAACTTGTTTATCTTCATTAGTTCATTAATTCATTTTATTTATTTGTTTGTGGTACTGGGGACTGAACCCCAGGGCCTTCACACTAACCCTTTTTGATTTTGAGATAGGGTCTCACTAAATTACTAAGTTGCCCAGGCTGGGCTCAAACTTGTGATCCTCCTGCTTCAGCCTCCCAGATGCTGGAATTACAGTGGTGTACCACCACACCTGGCAAGAAATGCATGTTTCTGAGAGTAGAAGTCTGGTGGAAAAGGTGACAGTCATGCCTCTGGTCACATCCCACTGGTGGGGACTTTGAGTGAGTCCCACTTCCTTGGGAGAGAGCTGGGAAACAGACCCAAGCTGGATATTTTTTCTGCAGTGCTAGGGACATTTTTTTTGAAACAGAGTCTGCTTTTGTAATGCAAGTTGGCCTGGACTCACTATGTAGCCCAGGCTGGCCTCGAACTTCGAACTTCGAAGTGATCCTCTTGTCTCAGGCTCCCAAGTACTGGGATTACAGGCATTCCCCTACTCTCCCTTCAACCCCTCCTCTCTCCCTCATTTACAAAAGCTTTGTGTCTGCTTTTGCTTTTCTCATTTATTTTTACTTTCCTTCCTTTCCCCTCTCCATTTGAACATTTTTGTCCTATTTCACAATATCTATTATACATTTTGGTCTTTTTTACCATTTACCTTATTTACAGTCTCTCACACTAGAGAAACAATGTGATATTTACATTTGTGTGCCCAATTTGATGCATCCATTTACCTAGAAATGTCTCAAGCTTATCCATTAAGGCAGAGTAGTACCCCATAGTATATAAAAAACCACATTTTTCTTTATCCATTCATTAGTTGATGGGCATCTGGATTGTTTCCAAGTTTTGGCTGTTACAAACTGTGCCACTCTCAATGTGGGTGTGCGTATATGGCTGTGGTATGATACTTTTAATTCTTTCAGGAAGATAAGGTGCTAATTATTCTTAAACAGTGGGTTTTTATACGGAAATAAGTTCAGGTTTACAACTAAATGGCATGTCTGACCCTTTGTGTTATTATGTAGTTGTGTGACGTTTTAACTTTATTTCCTGCAGTGCTGGGGCTCAAACCAGGGTGTCACCCATGTGGTGCAAGGCCCCATCACTGAGCTTCATTAACCCCAGACTTTCAGTATGGTGTCTCTCAGTGCTAGAGCACTTGACTAGTAGGTACAGGGCTCTGAGTTCAATCTTCAGCACTGCAAAACAAAAACAAAAGAAGTTAATATCCTTATCTTGGTGAAACTTTAGAAATTTCCATCTTTAAATGGATTTTATTTTATTTTTTTTTATTTTTGGTACTGGGGATCAAACTCATGACCTTGCAATTACCAGGCAAGGCCTTGAGCCACTGAGGTAGATTGTCAGCCCCTTTAAATGGATTTTACAAACCATCAAGAAAGAAAAAAAGGCACATGCCTGTAACCCCAGCACTGTGGAAGCTGAGGCAGGAGGATTGGCCACAAGTTAGAAGCTAGCCTGGACTACGCAGTGAGACCCTATCTCAACAAGAGAAACAACAAAAAACCCTGTCAGGACCTGATGTGCTATTGGTTGTAAGTAGGGATTACTACTTTCCTCTTTTCTCTCTTTCCCTCCCTTCTAGTGTGAGATGGGCACCATGGAAGAAGCTGGAATTTGTGGGCTAGGGGTGAAAGCAGATGTGCTGTGTAATGCCCAGGCAAATGATGTTCTCCAGCATCAAGACTCCAGTTGTGGTGGCACAAGTAACAAGCATTCATTGGAAGAAGATGAAGGTAGTGACTTTATCACCAAGAATAGGAATTTAGTGAGCCCAGCATATCGCGCAAAGGAGGCAAGAGAGACAATTCCTGGGCGGGAGGCTCGGACTGACCCCCCTGATGGTCAGCAGGACTCAGAGTGCAGCAGGAACAAAGAGAAGACCTTAGGTAAGAGTCGCTCATGACTGACCTTTGCACACCACTCCGCTTGCTCCTGCTTCCTGTGGTGCAGGGGACCGTGGATGGGACTGGCCTGGAGGTGCGCAGTACAGTGTGTGGTCCTAGGGGAGGTCAGCTTGTGTGTGTGCTGCGGGTATATGCAGGAGGCAGTAGCAGCAGAGTGGGGAGCTTATTGTAATTCATCAAAAATTAGCTTTCTAGAAAAGTTTGGAGCCAGCTTGACAGAAGCAGTATTTGACTTGCCTTGTTTTCTTGTTTAACATAATCTGACCAAAACTTAGATGAAGACTAAATATTCATTTGATCAGTTTATTTAAACACTAGGTACAGAATATTATCTGTAGTTGGAAAAGTAGGGTGCTTGGCTTTCAAGGGTGGTTTTTTTCTCCTGCTATGTAGTTAGCAGTTTAGAGCAAGAATGTGGCAGTCTAAATATAATGAACAGAATTTGAAAGCCCCTTTTATTTACTTATTTGTGTGTTCCCCCATTTTCTCCTTTGTGGTACTGGAGATTAAATCTCTGCTTTATACGTGGTAGGCAAGCAGTCTACCACTGAGCTACAACTGTAGCCCTGCATTTTAAATTTTATTTTGAGATAAGGTCTTGCCAAGTTGCCCAGGTTGCCCTTGAAATTGTAGTCCTCCAACTTTATCCTCCCAAGTAGCTGGGATTACAGGTGTGTGTCACCCACCTGGTGGTCCCCTCTCCACTTTTATTGAGACAGAGGTCTCACTATGTGGTTTAGGCTGGTCAGAGCCCTCATTTTTTACAGTTATTATAACTAAGATTTTTAGGCCAGGTGTGGTGGCATATGCCTGTAATCCTAACGTGGGAGGCTGAGGCTGGAGGATTTCAAGTTCAAGGCTGGCCTAGGCTGCATAATGAGTTCAAGGCCAGCCTGAACTACATAGCAAGACTCTTCCTCAAAAAAAAAGGTGTTACCCAGAATCTTATACATGAATGCTCATAGATTTATTTGTAATAACCCAAAAGTTGAAGTGACACAACATCCGTAATGGATAAGGTGTGATATATCCATGTAATATTATTCAGCCATAAAAGGAATGATCCTACATGAAAGATCTTACATGAATGAACCTCAAAAAACACTTTACAAAGTGATAGAAGCAGACACAAAAGCCACACACTGTGTGGTTCCATTTTCATATGAAATGTCTCCTGAGTGCTGTGATTGCAGGCATGTACCACCACACTCGACAGAGTATTTTCTTTTTTTAAGTTTTTCCTCCCATAGCAGTCTCTATGCCAAATACCAAAATAATTTTGTGATATTTAATGAAATATCTTGCATGGAAGAATGAACATTTAAAAAAATAAAGCTGTCTATGACCCAGCTTAAGAAATACAATATTGTAGCTTATGTTGAGATATTTTTCCTTCCTGTCTCAGCTGCCTGCTTTGTGTTGCCAAAGTCCTTCAGGTACTGTTGGTAAGCCCTATTCTCCAAGGGAAGAGCTGGCTTACCACCGTTTGTTTACACTGACCTTGGTTACATGATGGATATGCTTATTGCTCCTGGAAAAAGATCTGTGTGGCCAGTGATTATGTGCATTTTAGATGAGCTAAGCCTGGTACCAGCTGCAGCTCCCTTCGACCTGGCTTCTGAATGTGTGCCTGCTTAGGAGGAGGCTTGGAGAAATACCGTCTTTGCCCTTTGTAACTTGTCCCTTGTCTTCGCTTGGACATCAAGGGTTAGGCAGGGGAAATGTGATGCTCCCAGCACTTCTTAGGAATAGTTCGCAGAGTGAGTGGATGGTGAACAAGTGATGTAACTTGGGGTGGGATGGGAGTGGAGGGGGACTGCTGATCCAGAATTGAAAACTAGCTCTCTTTTTCTTTCCTTTGAGGTACTGGGGTTTGAAGCTGGGGCTCCACACACTGTATGTGAGCGCTTTCCTCAGCCCCACATTACTTTGGTACTTGAGAGAATAAATAGCTCATTTCTAGTCACAGGTGTAATTCTCTTTGCAGGAGAAAAGTTGGGTATGTAGAGGATTCACAATTCAGATTGGACTTCTTTCTTGTCCTAAGGTAGGACTTATACTTCTTATCTTGTTCATCATTAGGAAAAGAAGTTTTATTACTGATGCAAGCCCTAAACACCCTTTCAACCCCAGAGGAGAAGCTGGCAGCTCTCTGTAAGAAGTATGCTGATCTTGTGAGTATTGATCAAGGGCAATGTGTGTGTGCTTGATGAACTTCTTGATTTTTGTTGTTGTTGTGAATCAGCTTTTAGAAATATGATTTTGATCTAGCTTTAAATGTCAAATTATATTTTATTCAAAAATTGAAGAAGACTACTTATTTTGATTTTTTTGAAACAAGGTTTTACTATGTAACCCAGGCTGGCCTGGAACTCACTATGTAGCCCAGACTGGCCTTGAGCCATTATCTTCCTGCCTTAGCATCCTAAGTATTGGGATTACAGGTGTGGCTGGCTCTATTTTTTTTGAGACAGGGTCTGTGTAGTCTAGGCTGATCTTGAACTCACTGTGTTGCCCAGGCTGCCCTCCTACCTCAGCCTTACGAGTGCTGGGATTACTGGTGTGTGCCACCATGCCTGGCTTTCCAGGTCTTAAAACATTTTATTTATTTATTTATTTTTTTGAGACAGGCTCTGCTGGAACTTGCAATCCTCCTGCTTTAGCCTCACAGAGTGATCACAGGTGTGTGCCACCATGCCTGGCTCTTGGGGCTTTTTCTTGATTGTGTAATTTCATTTTACTAGGTAATATATGTAGTACATTATAGTCTTGAGCTGTAGCATAGATTTGTGTCTTTTTTGAAGTGGAATTTTGCTATGTTGCCCAGGCTAACCCTGAACTCCAAATGATCCTCTTGCTCAGCTTCCCAGGTAGCTGGGACTATGTGCTCCTTCCACTGTGGCTGCTGGTATAGATTTTCTGATACTGTGTTGTAGAGTACTTTCTAGATCAGCCCTTCCATTGCTGTGTTCTGATCCTTTTGGAGCCACTTAATTGGATTATAGTGATTTCTGTAGTTCATTTTTCCTAAGGGAGTTCTAGAGACAAAGATTCTAACCATTTTGATTGGAATTGTGAGTTAGATGAAATGGTTCAGTAAAACAATACTATGTCTCAGGGAGTATTTATTTAGCATCTGGTGAGTGCCAGCATTCTTTTTTCCATCTTCCAAAGAAATTCATCCTATCCAAAACTTCATTGTGGTCCTATGTTATTTCAAGTAGTATTAATTATCTTCTTGGGATTGTGACAGCAGCGTGCACATAGGAGCCTGCCAGCTTGCTCAGATTGAAAAATGGGAAACTTAGACCACTTTAAAGAGAGGCTGATGGGGAACTTTTATAATAAGCAATTTAAGTATAAATGCTAAAATTATTACTCTTTGTGACTTAGGTGAATTACCATTTGCAATTTTATGTAATTTCAGCTATTGTTAGAAAAGTTATTCCATATCACAAACTATCCTTTTTGTCAGTTAGCAGCTCAGGGCTGCTCATTCCCCAGAGCGACAGTGTGACTTTCCCTTGGTTCACGAAGCAGTCCAGGTTGCGTGAGTGGCCAGAGGTCAGCAATGCAGTGGCCTCTGCCACGCGCCTGTGGGGAGCCCTGTACCTCGGCAAGTGGGCCGTGAGTGTCCCGACAACAGAGGTGGTGGAAGAGCTGTGTGGACTCCTGGCTCAGGGGAGGCATGCTTCTGCTAGCCTTGGAAGCTGGCTTCTGCTGCAATGAGGAGAATGGTGCAAGAAGTTCAGCAAAGGACTTGAACAGAAATGGGCAAATGCAGAAGGCCACATGCAGAAGAAGACTAGGCCACGGAAGAGGCAGTGTAGTTGGAGCTGCCCGCGCCAGCATTACCAGAGCAGCGGATGGGGCCCAGAGCAGGAGAGCATGTGAACAGTAACTGGCTGCTTTTGATGCTTGCAAGGCCTGCGACTCTGCCTCTTCCCAAGCTCTTGGGAAACACTGAGGATGCCACTGGGCCTCGTGTCCCACTTGAAGTAGCGCTGCCCTTTGTGCTTTTGATCGTTTGCATGGGTGTGGTCCTCTGTATTAATTTTCAGACATTGCACACTGCAGACTTGCCCCGTGAGGAATCTTTTTGCTATGAATTTGTCCTGGACATGTGAAAGATGAAATATGTAATGCCTTTAGAAAAAGCAATAAAGCTTAATTTGTTGAAATGACACTCATTTCACTGAAGAAGTGCGGCATTCAGATCGAATACTGGTGAAGCCACCAGGGAGTAGCCTGCTCATAAGAAGCATTTGGAAAACCTCATTTCTTACCCCCTGCCAGTGCTTTTGCCACAGCACCCTTTGGTATTGTCACTGCTTGTCACGCTGCCATGTAGAAGTGTTGTGTGGAGGCAGGTGAGATGGAGATCTGTATGGGGCAAGAGGGACCATGTGGCCCCCATGCTTGCCACATGGTGGATGCCAGTCACATCATTTTGTACCATGGTTCCAAAGCACTTATAATCTTATTTTTCCCTTTTCCTGTGCTTGTGTAGGTTATTATCATGTGGTAAGGTTTGGTAGCTAGAGTCCCCTTTTTCTGCGTCATAGATACATTAAGTATATTGGCCCACTTATTCTATAGGTTTGAAGTTCAATTCAATAGTTAGGTGGGGGCTGGGAAACACATTTGGGTTTTTTTTTTTTGTTTTTTAATAAAACACTGAGGCTGGTCTTGAATTCATTTGCTTTTTTCATCATCCATTTGGGATTTTGAAGCTTTTGTGGAATCTGGATGCACTTAAGGGAGAATTACCATCCTTATGTTTGTGATGGAATTTAAAAAGGTGTTAGTCTTACTGAAAAAATGAAATTTTCAGCCAGTTATGGTTGCATACATTTATACTCCCAGCACTCTAGAAGGCTGAGGTAGGAGAATCTCAAGTTCCAGCTCAGCCTGAGTGATTTGGTGAGACCTTGTCTTTGAAAAATACAAAAAAGGATTACAAATGTGGCTCAGTGAGAAAGCCCTCAATTCAGTCCCCACTACCAGGAAAAAAAATGTTGCCAGACCTGGTGGCCCTCACTTCTAGTCTCAACACTCAGGAAGCTGAGGCCACAGGATTCTAAATTCAAGAGCGGCCTGGGCTGTGTAATAGCAATCTCAAGGCTGGCCTACATTATGTAGGGAGACTCTGTCTCAAAAAGCAAAACCAAACAAAGACATGAAAGCATATTATGAACAAATACAGTGAAGATTTTGTATCAAGAATACTTGAACACCTACCGATAGGCAGGAAAAGGACAGTCATCCGGGGAAAATTGGGTGGAAGATATAGAAAAATGTTTCATGGAAGTAGAAAAGGATACAGTAATAACTTAAAGCCCGACAACACATGGAGAGATGTTTTATCTCACAGTGATCAGGGGAATGCTGATTGAGATGACAGAATCTAGTTTTTGTCCATGGTCGTGGCAGGAACGAAGACATGGAAACATACTGTGCTTTGGAGAGGGCGTGGGTCTGCACGCTCTCACACACTGCTGTCGGGAACAAAATGTGCTGGCCACTTTGGACAACTGGTAATGTCATGTGAAACTGAACATTTAGAACTCATTACCCAAACCGTGTCCTAGGAAACACAGGAGAGTGTTGGTGCCATTGTGTGTCCTGACGAAGCCTGGATGGGCCAGATGCCCGCTGCACAAAAAGGGCCTGAGATGCGCTTGTGTGCAGTGTGCAGGCCAAGTCAGTTACAGCCTGTGCATGTGCCAACAAGCTGAGAATGTTTTTATATTTTTAGATGTTCAAAAATAAACCATACATGACAGAGACCATATGTGGCCCTGCATTGCCTAAAATACTGACTTGCTGGTCCTTTACAGAAGGCTTCTAACCACTGGTCTGTAACAGTAGGCCAGTGAGGTCACTGAACCTTAAAAACTGAGTTGTATGAAGACAGTTAGGCAGCCACTTAAGTTTATTAGAAGAAAACAAGAAAAAGTAAATTCCTCAGTTGAACTAGTCACAGCAAATGCAGAATAACTAAAGCCAAAAAGTTTGCTTTTTTTTTTTTTTTTTTTTTTTTTGTTAGCACTACACGGGGAAATGAAATGACTTGTGCACTTAGGGAAGCCAGGAATGCTGAGCCCAGGATTCTGAGGTCCTGACCTGGAGATTGGGTGCCGGTTAGAGACGGCAGCCTCTGACCCTGCACTGCTGCCCCCAAGTGGCAGCCAGGTGATCGGCAACGTCAATGAAGGGAGCTAGAGTGTTTCCTGAGTATCCGCGGAGCACGCTGCCTGGAGGATGCTTGGTGTGCTTGACTGGCCACATGGTGGCACTCTTGCTTTTGAAGTCGTGACTCAGCATCTTTTTCTTTCCCTGGAAGAGCTGTACAGAGATCAGTGAGGCTGCCATCTTATCTGCTGGTGTGGATTGTACCATGAAATAGACCCATGTGCTTCAAATCTCAGATCGTAACCTTTTTCCTCACAAAGAACTCACAGTGTTGCTTACCGAGTTTTAGATTCTCCTGACTGTTTCAGTACCATGGCCTGTGTTGTTTAGAAAAATAAAACTGTGATAATTCCTAAAGCATCGCTTTTTTTAATGAGGTGAGACACAGCACAATAAAAGCAGTTTTATATTTAGATTTCAACATGTCTTTGAATGGATAGGAAAAGGTCTAGACAGACACACAGCAGACCGTTCAGGATGTGGCTGGCCTGGGGTCTACCAGGGCCCTGGCTTCCGCAGGGTAGGTCTCAGCCAGAGCAAGCAGGTCATTCCCCCAAGGGCAGCCTGAATTCTGGTGGAGCCTTGCCAGTGGCTTGGGACCTTACAAGGTGGCAGGTGCCCTACTGGAGAGTGGCATGAGTTTAGGACTCAGAGTTGGAGCTGGACATGGAGCCATCCCCACGTGACGAGAGTCACTGAGCTGGAATAAGAAAGAAGAGCTCTCGTCAGCATCTGGAGCTGGGCAAGGTGACAGACAGTAAAGAACCCTGGCTAGCTTAGTGGGGACACCAAGGAAGCAGTGATGCAGTTGTGAGGGTCATAGCTCCATGACATTCTGTCCTAATTATGGAATCCTGGGTAACTTAGTATCTGGTCTATAGATATTTTCTGTTGAAAAACTTTGATGATAAAGCTAAGTATGGGTAATAAAAGGTTGTGAAAATTAAATGTATCTGAAGGCCAAAGAAAGAGATCCATGATCATTTCTACCCACTCTAGACTTGCTTACTTCCCTGTTGCAGCTGGCAAAGAGAGGAGGTTGGCAGTGTTGCATGGCCAGGAGCAGTTTAACTAAAATATTATACACCACCATCTCTCTTTGTGTTTGTTGATGGGGTGGATCTGGGGCCTCATGGTGCTCAGCAAGTTCTGTCCCCCTAAATTTTGCCCCAGCCCACAGTGTTTGGCTTCATTAAGAGTAGGTGGCTTTACCTTCTGGCAGGGACTCTGAGCTGCTACTGTCCTTCCTAAATGTAAAGTGCTTGTTGATTGCAGCTGGAGGAGAGCAGGAATGTTCAGAAGCAAATGAAGATTTTGCAGAAGAAGCAAGCCCAGATAGTGAAAGAGAAAGTTCACTTACAAAGTGAGCACAGCAAGGCTATTTTGGCGAGAAGCAAACTGGAGTCTTTATGCAGGGAGCTTCAGCGTCACAATAAGACCTTAAAGGTTAGTTGATTCATTTTGCTGGTTTTCAAGAGGTACTGACCTGACCTTATAATCACCTTGTGCCCATTTGAAGGAAAAGCATTATACTGCATAGACAGCAGGACACCACCTTCTGCTGTGCTTGGACTGATGCTGTGTGTGAGGCCAGTGTGACATAAGACTGACAACTGCTCAGTGCATTTTGGTTTCCCGGGGAAGGATTAGTTAACTCCTAATCACTCACAGAGAGTCGGCCTAGAACTGCTGTTTACACCACAGCTTTCTTGCTTAAAGAGTTAGGAAGCTCAAAGTGGTCCCTTTCTGTCTGCCCTGACACCACTGACCCCCACGGATAGGAGCTACTGGGAAATGAGAGACCGGAGTCAGGCTCTAATGAGGACAGTGCAGATCTCCTGGGAGATCCACTCTACCCGGCGCAGCTGCTATGCAGGCTGCTGAGTGCCTTCACAGCAGTGCTCACACCTTGGTGGTGACTGCAAAGGAGACCCAGTAGTGCCCAGAGATGCACCAGCATGCACAGGGCAGAAGAGTGTGGATCCAACTCACTGGGGAGTCTGTCCCTTCCCAGTGGCAGGACCCTCACCCACTGCCCCTTCCCTAGCACAGCCCCTGCCTTGAGGTAGCCCACCCAAGACACTCTACCTGAGTGGGACCATCACTGTCTGGTCCTCATTGGAATTCCGTGGATTAAGTAAAGTGAGTGGGACTGTATCATGACAGGTCATTTTGAGTAGACTGATGCATTTAGACATGTAAAAGTCTTTTGACACTTGCAATTTTTACAGTAAGAATTCCACATATCCCGTGCCCCCTAGGGAGTGGACGGGGTGACTCAGAACAGAAGCTGTGGGAGGGGCTCTATCTTCTTCAGGTTGAGCCAAGGTGACAATGAGTGAGAGGTGGCTGTGGAGAGAAGCCCCAGACTTATAGCTCAGTGCGGTGGCTTTAGGTGCTTATGTCACACTCAAGAGTAGAGCAGTTTGTGTCACATTACTGTGTCTCCTTGGAAAGAGTAGCTTGGCTTTAAGTGAGATCCTTTGGGGAGGAACTGGCGCTCAGAAGCAGCATTTCAGGTAGCACTAATGAGCCCACATTGTGTCAGCTGCTTCTGTGAGCCTCTTATCTGTAGGTCACACTATTAACAGTCATTATTTTGGACAACAAGGAGGAAAATATGCAGCAGGCACGGGAGGAGGAAGAACGGCGTAAGGAGGCAACAGCACATTTCCAGATGACTTTAAATGAGATCCAGGCCCAGCTGGAGCAGCACGACATCCATAACACCAAGCTCCGCCAGGAGAACCTGGAGCTGGGGGAGAAGCTGAAGAAACTCATTGAGCAGTATGCGCTGAGGGAAGAGGTAGGGTGCCTCCTCAGCCACCTGAGTATGCTTCCTTCCTGATGTGCCTGGTGGGGAGGGATAGTCCCCGGGAGGGAGGGTTTCTGGTGAGTCCTCAGGCACCTTGACAAGTGTCATGCTCTTCCTTCCTCGAGTGGGATCCTGGAGGTGGCCACTTTCACACAGAGGACCCTTTCCTTATCCAGACTTGGAAAGAGTAAACATTCAGCTCCAAAATGCCCCAGACAGTAGCCACTCCATTGCTTTATAGTCATGTTTCAGTTGTGTTTTGTTTTGTTTCATCTTTTGAGACAAGATCTTGTTATGTTGCTCAGGTTGATCACGAATTCCTGGGCTCAAGTGATCCTCCTGCCTCAGCTTTCCAAGTCGCAGGGGCCATAGGTGTGTACTGCTGCTGCTGCCGCACCCAGCTCCAGATTTAAAAACAAAAAAGTATGTTTATTTGCAGTGTGGGGATGCAGGGCCTCGTGTGCTGGGCACATGCTCTAACCCTGTTTTTGTTTTTTAATTTCACTTTCATTTATTTTTGATGCTGGGATCAGATGCAGGGCTATGCGCATGCTAAATGTATACTCACTAAGCTCAACCCCAGCCCCATGATTTTATTTTTAGTGGGGTTTTATACTATTTAAGAGAAAAAAGCAGCTACCCTTAGCCCCTGCCACACAGTGCAGCACAGTTTAGTGGAAAGAGCCAGGGCTCTCACTTCTGGTGAAGGCTTCTCTTGCTGATGACCTGCACCAGAAAGATCACTAGCCGAGTCGGGTAAACAACACAGCCTCTGTCTTTAGTAACATGATGGGCTTTCCCGCAGCTTATGGCCTTATGCAGGTATTCAAAGCTAAGACTGTGGCATTTCCTTCCTACTTTACCCACTTTTCTGTAGGTTTAGCTTTATATTAATTTATACTACTGTAGACCTGCAGAAACTTTTAAAATTTTCTTTTGATCACTCATACCACATTTTGCTTTGCTTTTTTTAAAAAAAGTGGTATTAAGGATTGAACCTGGGGCCTTCACGCTGAGCTATATATCCCAGTTTTTTATTATTTTGAGATGTGGTCTAAGATGCTAAATTGCCAAGGCTGGGCTCGAACTTGTATTCCTCCTGTCTCAGCCTTCCACAGTGCTTGAGAATGGTGTGTGCCACCATGCCCAGCATATTTTTCTTTTCTCTCTCCATCCATCCTTCCTTTCTTTCTTCCCTCCCTCCCTTTCTCTGTCTTGGTTTTTTGAGACAAAGTCTCACTATGTAGTTCATCCTGGCCTTGAACTCACTATATAGTTAAGGCTGTCCTTGACTTTGGCAGTGATCCTCCTGCTTCTGCCTCCTGAGTGTTGGGATTATAGGCACGCACCACCATATCTGGTTGCTTTTTTTAACTAAAATTTTTTTTTGTCTTTTTGAGACAAGGTTTCACTATGCAGTTCATGCTGGCCTTGAACTTACTTTGTAGCCCAGCTGGCTTTGAACTTGCAGTGATCCTCCTATCTTACCTTCCTGAATACTGGGATTACAGATGTGCACTACCAAGCCTGGCTATGGTTGCTGCTTTTTAAAAGAATTTAAATATTATGGAAAATTGTAAGTTTAAGAAAACAAGAGAATATATCAACTGGCATGATGGCTTGAACATTGAAATCAGCTTCATCTCTGATCTTCTGGATTGTTTCGAAGCAAATCCGAGGTATCATGTCATATTATTCCACTCATAGATATTTGAGTGTCTAGCATAACCCCAGTATCATTTTTACACCTAGCAAATTATTTTTGATTACCTAGTTGCTATTCACGTTTTTTTTTAAAATTTGGCTCAAGATCTAAAAAATGCCCTATTTCATTGATTTCTATGTCTCATGTTTCTAAAGTGTTTTCTCTTTCTCTTTTTATTCCCTCTTTTTAATTCTTAAAGTGTGTTTATTGAAGAACTTTTTTTGGTGGGGGGACTAAAAGTTATTTCCCTTTTATTAGACTAATCAAGCCCTAAAATTATTAAATGATTCTTAGTTTTGCTGTATAGCAATGACCGTTTACCTCATCATTGATGTAGCAGATTTGAAACTGAAGCTTAAATTATATTTCTTTCTTTTTTTTTTTTTTTTTTGGTACTGGGAATTGAACTAAGGACCTCACACTTGCCAGGCAGATTTGCCGTTGAGCTAAATCTCCAGCCCCAAAATTGTATTTCTTTTACTTCCTTTGAACTTAGAGGTGCCTTTCTTTGATCAGGAGATGATAATGGTCACACCATTGGGCCCTCTCCTAGGGTGGTAGGCCTTGCTTGGCTCACACAGTATGCCACAGCTAGGAGAGGCCAGTTTCCCTGGCAGCATGGCTCAGGACGAGGCTCTGACTTCAGAGGTATCCCTAGCAACATGACCGAACCATGGCCAATGTGTGCCTGGCACCAAACCTCTTGTGTGCTCCTGCAATCGCAGCACTGGCCTGGCTAATCCAAGCAGGTGTTGTCATCCTTCTGCCCAGGTGCCCCGGGTGTGGGCAGGAATCTGAAGGGATGAGCCAAGGGAGAGCGCCACTTTGAGCGTTGTGTGCTGCCAGTTTCTGGCGTGGGATCACATTGTGGGGAAAACAGGCAGACAGGGAATTAAGGACAGGATACCTGCATTTCCCAGTGTGCTCCACTTGCCCATAGTGTCTTGATGCACTTGGAGCCTTATATCAGTGTGCATAACTGGCTTTGAAACTACCATCTTGTGCTGGGGGTGCACTGCCCTGCTGTGAATGGGGCAGGAGAGATCCTTGCCTTAGCCTAGGGGCATAGACTCAGTGCGGCTCTGAGCTGCGTGGCTTCCGCCATTTGCATCTTTTTTCTGAAGTGATGGAGGCTTTCGCTTTTCCCTCAGCACATTGACAAAGTATTCAAGCATAAGGAATTGCAGCAACAGCTGGTGGATGCCAAACTTCAGCAGACGACACAGCTGATAAAAGAAGCCGATGAGAAGCACCAGAGAGAGCGAGAGTTTGTAAGTTCAGTTTCTTTCAAACAAATCATTGCCAAATTTTAAACAAATCCATTTAAAACATTTAAACTTACTCAGGATTTATTTTATTTTCCTACTCTGCATTTAATGTTGCACCTGGGGCATGCTAGTTAGTTTTTGCCACAGAAAGCATTTGTGTGTTTCTGTGTAACTTTTTATACAGAAAATATGCTGGTGGGGTTGGACCATGTCATTTGGAAGACCTGTCCTTGTCTAGTTTTTCTGTACTTAGAATATTTATTTCACTGGTTAGCAGGTTCAAGAAAAATTTGGCAATTCAAGTGAATGTCAAACTTATCAATCAAATACAGGTTTCCTATATCTGCCTTAGATACTGTTTTGCAAACAAACACCGTCAAGCTAGGAAAACTCTTCTCTTACTTTTGTTAAGTTTTAACAATCTGTTCACTGAATTCTCTACGCCATGGTCCCTCAGCATTGCTCTTGGCATGCATATTCAGAGTCTGTTGCTCATCAGTAACTGAAGACAGCAGGATCTTGTTGGGGATAGACTCTGAACTGCTGCAAATTCAGCTCTCTGTGCTTGTCTAGAACAGTGATATAGGGAGAAATGGGTAAAACATCCAGTGAAAATACCCTGCAGCAGCCCTCCTGGTGCTGGCGTGCTGTGCGAAGGGTCAGGAGGCACCTCACGTACGCTCATTCCTGCTGTGTCCTCCTGTAGGTCTTGCTGGGGTTAGGCATTGCTCCACTGATGAGCAGCTATCGTTTCCCAAGTTAGTGTGCATTTTACACACATGCACATGCTCTGTCATGTAAGTAGTGTCTGCTAATAAACATGTAGGTATTTTCACCTAAGACAACAGATTAACCCTGAGCTTTGTGAATCTTTTGAGGCTAGGTCCTTTTTCCACTTGAGTAGTAAATGACTGCTCCTCTGTCCTTGAGTGCTGGCAGGTGGGACTGATGGGAGACAGTGGGAAATGGCCGTCTGTAGCCGGTATTTCTTGTTCAAACTGCAGGCTGAAGGTGCAGCCTGAATGTGTGTTTGTGTACTATTAGTATTTTGCCAGAATTTTTGTGTTTTCCAGTTACTAAAAGAAGCAACAGAATCGAGGCACAAATACGAACAAATGAAACAGCAAGAAGTACAGCTAAAACAGCAGGTAACTGGACAGCAGGGACAGAAGTGAAGTGTAAGGAAAATCGTGGGACTCCTTTGCCACCTACCTTGGTGTCTGTCCTGTCACTGTGGGGGGTTCCCACTATTTCCAGCCAGAGTTGGCCAAACTGAGGAGGAGCTCACATGTCCCTCGGGGAGGTGTTCTCTTCCTTTCAGGTGACCAGCTTATCCCGTTTGCTGAGGCCTTTCCTGCTTTTAGTGCTGAAAGTCCTATGTCCCAGTAGCTCCTGCTTCTCTACCTCAGGCAGACTGGGACAGGTGGTCACAATATCTCCAGGGACCCCTTTCCATGATAATAGATAACTTCTTCCACTTCTCAGTCTGGTCCTGTCACCTGGTTTTTCACTTAAGGAAAATGAATTCATTTTCAGATACTACTTTTTTAATATCAAGTAAAATCAAGAAATTGCTGAAGCCAAGATACTTCTTTGACCTATAAAATGGTAGTCTCGTAGTTTAACACACTGACTAGATTTTGTGCTTTGAGCACATTAGTGTCACAGAACCACTCAACCACAAGGCCTGCCTGGCACACAGTTTGGGGTGTCGTGCTGCTTGGGCCGCTTCCAGTGCAGACCCCACAGCCCCTCGGTCACAGTCTCCGAGGCTGTCTTAACCAAGGCATGAGGAGAACTTCTGTGTCTTTGCAGACAGGCATAGCAGACATTTGTATTTGTACTCACCCCTTTTCAGCTAGTTAGATTATGCTGTTGGGTAAATGTATTTTGCTTTTAAAGTTTAAGGACACTACTTGGAAAATGTACTGATCCATGAGGGTTAACGCAGGTCTCTGTGAGCATGGCCTCCAGGATTTCCAGCAGTGAGGCCTGCACTGACCCAAGCTGGGAGGAGCTGACAAGGCAGAGTGGCAGCATCCTGGGAACTGCCCCATGATTTCTGTGACGCCATGGCATGGCAGGCATCAAACCTCTTCTTCTCAGCCCTGTGCATTCAGCTGTCCTTGTGTGAGGAGTCCTGTCTGAGCAAAGGATTTGTTCTCCTACTGCTGCACATGGCCATCTTGCCCTGTCACCTCACAGTGAGGCTGACCATCTCCTGGTATCACAATTAGTCCTGGCCAGAGTTCCCTTGCAAGAGTAGTTGACATTAGTGACCATCACAGTGGGCCTTTCCCTGGGTCAGTTTGCTGCACCTTTTGTCCCCAGTGCTAGAAAGGCTCCCCACTGATGCCTGCCCCAGCCTCTGAGGCCTTATCAGTGTTGGCTGTCCCCATTGCTGCCCTCCGCATCCCAGCTGTGCTACCCGCCCCCCTCAGGCCATGCTCCTCCTTCCTCCCCAGGATTCCCGAATATTCTGTGCTTCCCCATTGTGACAGCAGTGTGACCATGGGAGGCAATCTCTGCTGAGGTCCTGTGGCCCTTCAAGGCCATGCCAGGCCTCCCTGCACAGAGCAGCCTGCCTTGGCCCTTGGCCTGCCTTCCACTCACACTGCTGTAGTGGCTGGCGGTGGAGGAGAATGGTGGCACTCTGCTGGCCTTGGTGAGGTTTCTCAGCTCAAAGGTAGAAGTTCAGAGAAAGATTGGGATTGCTGCCTCCGGTTTTCTCTCACCTGTCCCAGCTGAATGCCTCTTCCCAGTTGCTTCCTGCAGCCCCGGCTGTGGCCCTCCCCATGTGCAGGGAACAGGTGTTGGCTGGGATGCCTTTTCCTCTTCTGCCAACAGTTGTGCTGGTAGAGCGAGGAGTAGGAGGCTGTCCTGCTGGGCTCGTCAAGTGGGCAGGGTGGAACAAGTTAGTGTGTGTCTAAAATCCAATAGAACCACACCAACAGAATTCCCAGGGCTTCATGTGCTCTGTGCCTGCTGTTCAAAGACTGTGTGCAATTTTTTTTTCTGTCATATAACGGTTAACTCATGACTAACCATGTTAGATTTTGAAGTCTCACAATGTGAATTGTTCACCTGGAATTCAGTGTCTTTCATATTTTTTTCTCTAGCTTTCTCTTTACATGGATAAGTTTGAAGAATTCCAGACCACTATGGCAAAAAGCAATGAATTGTTTACAACCTTCAGGCAGGAAATGGAAAAGGTATTTGTATGTTTTCATAGACTTCCATAAAAAGGATTTTAGGTATGCACTTTCCAGCATGCTTCATACTTGGATGAGCTTAATGCTGGAATACCATCTTCGTTTTCTTTTCTGATTCTCCAGTCACCAGATTTCTGATTCAGTCACCTTGACCTCAGTGTATCCTGAGTAGCTGATGGTGGCTGTGCTCTTAGAACTCTTAAGTTACAACAGTGAATGTCTTGATTATTAAATAGTTTGTTGTTAGGAACAAGGTAGTTTGTTTGTTGTTTCAATCGCTTGGAAAGATGATTCCCCAGTCATCTTACAAATTTCTGTCCTTAGATATTATAGACATTCATGCTTAAAAGACTACACATTTTACTGTTACTACCCTTTCTTAAAACTTTTTGTTTTCTTTTTTACACCCACTGAATTCTTTCCTTTTATTCCCAGACTAAACTATTCCTTTGGTTTCTGTTGCATTTTCCTGCCGGCATTAAGTGAAAAGATATCCTTGATATCAAGCTAGAGACTAGAAAGTTCCTACAGCAGAAGACACACTGCAGTTAGTCGCCCTCCAAGCGCTGTGCTGGTCCTGCCCTTGAGCACACTGGTCCCACTGTATGCACTGTGCCATGCTCTGCACAGCTTTCGAGTCCTGTCTTGAGGGGCTTTATGAGGCGTGAGCAGAAATCCAGTGAGTGCTGGTGCTGAGCACCATCCAACTAGGAAAGGCACGCTGTAGAAACACTCTGGGGGTCCTCATCCATCGTACTCACCAGATCTGGCCCCGTGTGACTTCTGGCCTTTCCCCCAAGTCAAAATGACTGTGAAAGGCAGATTTGAATACTTTCAGGACCTGGAGGCAGCCATGACAGAAAAACTAAAGACATTCATAAAGCAGTTACTCCGGAACTGCTTCACAAGAATATTTTAATGGCGGCAATAAATTTTAAAAAATCTAAACATTCACTGTGTTTTTTGGTAACACCTCATTGAGACCCGTGAATTTTGAACTATATCCTCCACTGTTTTTTAAGATAGGGTACTAAGTTGCCCATGCTGGGATTGAACTTGCCATCTACTTGCCTCAGTCTTTGAGAGCCAAAATACATTGTTTAATCCATCCATTTTCTTTTTTTTTCTTGGAGGTAAGGTCTTGCTGTGTAGTTTAGGTTGGCCTTGGACTCACTTGTACCCAGGCTGGCCCCTGTGGGTACTTGTGGCCCCCCTCCCACTGTCTATTCTCATTTTACTTGGTGACTTCCCTTTAAATTGGAGGAGTGTGTTTTGTATTGTTTTTCTCATGAGAATAGGATCTCATTGTGTTGCTCAGAATGACCTTGATCTCCTCTTGCCTCAGTCTCCTAGGTAGCTGGAACTACAGGTACATGCTACTACAGCCAGCTAAAGTGAAGGCTTTTAAAAAAAATAGTGTTCAGATGGCAGACGTAACTCTAGCCTACTAATAGATATATTAAATGTATATGGATTCAATAAGTAAAAACATTGTTTCTGAGAAGTACACATCTGGTAGATGGCAGCCATGACTTAGCACTGCACAGTGGCCAGGTGCCCTTGGGGTAAATGGCCCTATTGTGTCACAGTACCAGTGGACAAGTCATTGAACCTGTTTTTGCCTTTGTGTTCCTTGACTTCTGAAAATGCTTGCAGACAGACCTGTCCCTCCTGCAATATATATGAATTTGCTGGATCCCATGAGCTTGCCTGGGCTCAGGTTTCTACCTGGCACTATCTTTGTATGCTTTGTTGTTTTTTTGAGACAGGGTCTCACTCTGAAATTCAGGGCTGGCCTTGAGGCCTTGAATTTGTGGTGATCCTCCTGCCTCAGCCTCCCAAGTGCTGGGATTACAGGCATGCGCCACCATGCCCGGCTTAGAACCAGTTTGAGACCTTGGATTCTGGCATGGCTCCAGGCAGCAGGTTCCTGTGGCCTTCTGTCCTCTTGCACATGAAACTCTAGAGGATGACACAGCTCAGGACCAGCCTGTTCTGTTGGAGGCTACAGAAGGCAACAGAGCACTTTTTCCACAGCCTGTCGCAGGTCACCTATCCGAGCTATGTGGCAGTCATCTTATGGCTAGTTCCCTGCCAGCACCAGGCCCAGAGTGGGCATGTGGGCATTAGGGCAGGGATGTTATGTGTCATAAGATGGCTGACAGGCGTCAGTCTCAGATTCAGTTTTGGAAACATGAGCTCTCCTAGCAGAGGTGTGAGGATTTCTCAAGTTTTGGGCCCACTTTTCTTCAGCAAATCTGACGTGAAAGGGCCTTGTACCTCGTGAGGGTGAACGCAGCATAAGGGGAACTTTGTCACTGCAGCCTTACCCTCAACTGACAGTGGCAGTTTGTGGGAAAGCACCAGTTCTTCATCTTTTGTGTCCAAGAGGCTGAGGAGTGGGACTGTGGGCAGGGAATCCACAAACATGGTCACTTTTCCACACTGCTTGTGGAGGAGGAAGACTTGCCTCTTGCTGCCCACTGGTGAATTGAAAATTCCACTCCCACCTCAGCTGAAACCAGAAGAGCATGCACTGCTGTTTCTGGAAGCTAACTTGGGCTCTGCCCTAGGAGCTTCTGAGTTAAGCTCTGTTACCTACAGATAACAGCAGCTGCTGTAAAGGCGAATGCTTTGATGAGGGTGCTGTGAATCACTCATTTTGTGTCCATTGGAGTTCTGAGACAAGGTCTCGCTCTATAGTCCAGGCTGGCCTAGAACTCAAGGAAATCCACCTGCCTCAGCCTCCCAAGGGCTGGCTGGGATCACAGGTGTGTGCTACCATGCCCAGCTTGCATTGTTTTTTCTGCTGGGAAAGGAAACAGATATGACAGATGGAATTTAGCGCTTAAACTTACACTTGTGTTGATTCACAGATGACAAAGAAAATTAAAAAGCTGGAAAAAGAAACAATAATATGGCGCACCAAGTGGGAAAACAATAATAAGGCGCTTCTGCAAATGGCCGAAGAGGTGAGAGGATTTCCTGTGACCAAAATGCATTCCTGGTCCTGGGGCCTTGTGAAGTTCAGGTGTCTGTCAGCGCAGCCTCCTGGCAGTCAGTAGGTGGCGGTGGACCAGAGAGGGGAAGTGTCAGACACTGTGCCTCCCTCCTCTCCAGCTGCACTCTCGCTGCTACACTGTCCTCTTCCCAAAAAGGCAACCAACATGGTCCGCTTTTGGAAGGTGACATGTAGAGCTTGCAGCGTTTGCATTTCCCGTCTTACGATATACTCATTTTTCTGTCCGCTAGTTCTAGTGACAGAACTCAGCTATTAAGGTGGGCAGTGCAAAAACATTTTAGAACGTGGCTTTTTCCAGACTTTGGGTAACACAAGAGGGGGTATCATCTTGCCCTCAGGAGCAGTGTGACACTTGCTGTGCATACCTGGGTTGTGGCGATGCTGCCTGAGCAGCTGGCGGGGTCACGTCAAGTAGGGTGTGCTTACTTACATGTAGAGGTGGCTGACTTTCTTTCTTTCTTTTTTTTTTTTTTAAAGAAAACTGTACGTGATAAAGAGTACAAGGCCTTTCAGATAAAACTGGAACGCTTAGAGAAGCTGTGCAGGGCTCTTCAGACAGAGAGAAATGAGCTCAACGAGAAGGTAGAAGTCCTGAAAGAGCAGGTCTCTGTCAAAATGGCAGATGGGGACTTGGTGGCACCCACGCTGCAGCAGAGCACCACTCCAGATGCTCACAAGGAGCTGAACACTTCCTTGAGAGGAGCCCCCAGCGCGCAGTTGCAGGCAGGGGTGGCAGGTGCACTACACAAGCCCCAGGGCCCTACTCCTGGCCTTGGAGCCCCTGGCATCGAGTCTGTTGACTAAGGTGAAGTGTGATCACTGCGCGGTTGAGAGATCTATTTTGTGTATAACTTTCTCTGTTAGTAGTAACTATTGGTTTTGTGGTGAAAATTTTCTTACTTTTTCTACCATATCTGTATTTTCCTAGAACTACTGGATTTATGTGGTACAGGAGGCTGCTTAGCAGTTTTGAATAGTTTTATTCTATAAATTCCTGTCAGCTATGTTGCACATCTGCCTCAGTTTCCCCATCATTGGAATGCATGTATTCACTGCCTTGCCCTTTTCTCCTTCCTGCTCCTTGCATATAATTTTCCTAAGTAATTTCATTCAAGACAGGGCTGACCATTCTGAGGGAACTCTGTTGTGAAAACAATTAAAAACATTTTTTGCCCCCCATTAATATTATTTAAAAATATACCAAGATGATCAGTTTTGTCTAATGCCATGTTAAAAAAAAAACAAAACTAGTGTTGGGTCAGAAACAAGCATAGCACATTTGATTCAAACGAGGTTTTTGTATCACTTCACAAAACAAGTTGGCCACAAGCCTTAACCTCCTGGTTTTGGCAGAACATGTACATAGTGTCATTTGTGAACAAAGCAGCATGAGGCAAGGCATTGGACAGGACACTAGGCTTGGTGCACACACAACTCCAGGTAGCCAGCTGCTTTGGCTCCAGGCTAGAACCCGGTGTGCAGCTCGGCTCAGCTCCATGTGGTGCTGGGGTGTGTCGTTCTCTAATGGCATGGGAAGCCCAGTTTGTGGCGGCTCCTCGGGGTTAAGACAGCTAGGGCAAACTCTGCTGTGTCTTTCACTGGGCAGAAATTCCTGCCACTTTCTGGCTACCTGAATGTTGATGTTCATTTTCACAAGTCCAACCAGGAAAGTACTCAAGGGTTTGCTTTTCGTTTTCTCAAAAAGGGAATTTAGAGATTAGCACTAAGTGACAAGTGATTCCAGAGGAGAAACACTGGAACCAGAATTTTTACCTGGGAAAACTTGGCAGAATGTCACATAGTCAGGACCTGTAACTTGGCCTTCAAGTCTGCTTTTCCTCTCATTGCTTTTTTTTTCAAAGAAATAAAAACCAGTATTATTATGGTCTCTATGCTTGGAAGGAGGGCAATTTTAGAATTAAGCACATAACTTGAATTGGTTCTTGAACTTCCCTTTGTTTGCTTCAATGTTGGCTATGGCTCAGTTATGCACAGGAAGCCTGGTGTAAGTGCATTGGAATACTTTATGAAATAAAGGGTTCTGCTGGGGCTGACATTAGCACATTCCACTGAGAACTATCAAACTGACACCTGTTAAACTGCTTACTGGACTGAATAAACTCCATTTTGTCCAGTTAAAATAGTTTTCTTTTTGTTAAAAGTTTTAGTTGTAAAGTCTTGTCACATCCTGGTCTAACCTGGGTTGAAAAACTTGAAAATTGTCTAACAGATGGGAAATAGTGCCTGGAGTTTGTGTATCTGTACTTTCCACCATCAGGCCTGTTAATCAAGGGGCTGGCCAGTAGAGAAGCAATCCAGAGTACAACAGGTTATCTGATCACCCTGTCACTATAAGCTGGAAGCCCAATAATCTGCTCCCCAGCAGTCTATTATAAATACCCTACTCCCCCTTGAGCTACTTGCTGGAACCCTGGATTGCCTCCTGGGGTGAGGGATGAACCTATCTATCATTAAACATAATCTACCTTAAAATCAGTACTAATGATCACATTCCACACAACTCTGCTGGATGTATTTTGCTCTTAACATTTTACCAAGCCATGTGTGTTGGTCACCATACTCCTTTGTGGTGCCTGTCCTGTGTGGAAGACTGTAAATCTTGGACCTATTGCATTTTTAAAGGGCTTTATAAAGCAATGTGATTAACAGTACTTGGCCTGCTGCTTTTGGCTTACGTGTATTTTTAGCTAGATGCTACCATGGTGTTTAATGGATATGGATTCTGTCTGGAACACATTCAGAATCTATTACCCTGTGATTAGACTCAAATGGGACCCCTCAAGGACACTCCTCCTCTGAAGTGATCGCCCCAGCAGCCCAGTGTTGTGGCTTTGTAGCATGCTGTATCTCCTGTGTTCTAGAACACTGTAACACTAGGCCAGCCCAGAAAGGTCGATGCTCGCCATCATGCCAATTGCCTTTGGCGCACCATCTCCACATGTGTTATTTGGTGTAGGAGAACTTGGGTCCTGGGTAATGGACCATTTCACCTTGAACTGTAGGAGTACATTTCTTGGTCTCGAGATCAGTATGTTTTAGTTATGTATGCAACTGCCTTTATCACACCTGGTTATCACAATTCAATGCTCAGGTGTTGCAGAAAAATCTACCTCTTTCAGACTGTAGATGGAAATAACTGTGAAAAAATGATGCAGATATCTCTAGTTTGTGCTAAACACACTGCTTTATTTTTACAGCCCACGTCTTTCATGAGGATATCAATTGTTAAGAGGCAGTCTTGTTTTTGCTTTTCAAAGACATTTTGTAGATTTTTCACTAATGTGAATTGATTTTATCTACTCGATTCTGTATAGATTAAGTAAATATGTATGATAAATTTAACAGCTTCTGTGTATTCTTTTGTTCCCCATGTGGCCTTAATTGTACAAATCCAAAGGTACAACTTTACCCATTTCCATTCAAGAGAAGGGAGAACTACATGTACATACAGCCATCCTCCCAGCTTCCAAAAGAATAAGAATAAAAGATAATTTATTTTAAAACTTTTATTTCTGCAAAGCCAATCAAGAAGTGTTGGAAGGAAAAAGTGTAAAAGTTACCCTTGCATATTTGGGAATAGCAAGCACTTAAGTTTGAGAAAACGAGGGCTTAGAACAGTTGAATCAAAGGCAGTACCCTGCTACTTATATTTTAAAACGTGATAATCCTTCTGAAGCAACATTCCTTCTTCCCTAATAACTACAATATGATACAGTACGCAACAGCTCACTTGAAAGTGCTAGAATCATAGGGTCAAGAATGCCATAAGCCACCCCACTTAACATTTCCCACTATACAATGCTGTTTTGGCGCTTGAGAAATCAAGCATTCATGTAGCATTACATTGAACAGAAACAGCTCTCATACTTTAAGATCCTTGTCCCTCCAGTTCCGAAGTTGTGACATCTGACTCTTCATCATTGTAAATGTTTTCAGCCTAGAGACAATAACCAAATAAATGCACGGGTAAAATTCCTCAAGGTTTTCATACAGTCATCTAAAGATAAATGTTAATCTGCCAATGCAGATTTTAACAATGTCTGTGACATATTTTGACAGGAATTGATCAGTTTCATTTTTTGTACGTTCGACCAAGAAAAAGGCAGGCCACTGTTCTTAAAAATTACTTGTCACTCTGATTCTGCATACATATCTAGTCCCTACACACTCAGTTCTTGTTTGTAGAACATCCTTTCAGTGTAATTGCTTCACTTTATACAGCTTAGGCTGTAAGCCACCACTGCACACGTTCAGTCCCCTCCCAGGCCAGTGTTCACACACACTCAAGGACCTGAAGACAGCAGCAGCAATGCAAAGGCCCCAGGGCCCCAGGGCACCAGTGAACACTGCAGTAGACACCAAGTGTATCTATGCACACAGATGTGCTCATTTATCCCGACACAGCAGGTGCTATGGCTGGCAGACTAAGTGCCAATGCTGAATCTGAGACTTGTCAAGTGGGAATTTTCCTTATATTCCAAGTATTTAGTGTAACAAGTACTTAAATATTTCTATTATATCACTGGTAAATCTCTGCTTTACAAAACACACATTTGAGAAAAAAATTTCAGCTCACCATTTGCCATATCTGCATGATGTTATCCTCAGACACTGAGCAGATAACCCAAGGCTCATTGGGGTTCCAACTAAAGTCTGAAATCTTGGCAGTGTGTCCTCCGTGAATAAACTGGAAAGGAAGAAAGTCTTGGTAAACATGAGTTCCTGAATGCATGTACCACTAGATGCTGAACGTCTGTTAGCTGGAGGCAGGACCTTTCCCCCCAACATTCTTTGGCCTGTGTCCCTAAAGAGCAAGAGCCTTTTCCCTAACAAGGCTGGCCACGCCGGCCACGCCCATAATCCCAGCTCTCTGAGACTGAAGCAGGAAGATCACCTTAAATTTTTTTTTGTCTTTTTCATTTTTATCAGTACCGGGGATCGAACTCATGACTGCCTGCTTGCAAGGCAGGTGCTTATGCCTCTGAGCTAAATCTCCAGCCTGATCACCTTAAATTTGAGGCCAGTCTGAGACACATAGTGAGTTCAAGGCCAGGCTGAATTACATTGCAAGACCCGGTCTTAACAAACAATATGCACCACTGCATCACAGTGAGTCACATGTGTAAGATGAGCTCTCACACACTTTCCTACACCAGGTGCTCTGGGGCCCTCCTGCACTGCCAGGCATAGCCCTCACCTTTCCTCAGTCTCCAGACAAAACACCTCACCCTGAGGTGTGCAACACCCAGGGCGCTATAGTTCCAAAGTCCCTCAAAACCAGAAATTGCAAACAAATGGCAAGGAAGGCAGTTTGATTTGCTTCAGGAAGAAATCTCAAGGGAAGGCACTGTACCTTCTGTATGTATCTTTGAATTGGAATTCAAAGTAACTTGTTCTTTGAAAGGACACAAATATTAACACTGTCTTAGAAGTGGGGCAAGTCACACTTTCTGCTAAAGTCTGACTTGACTGTTTATTTGGAAAACAAGGACTCTGTCTGCTGGTTAGGGTGTATGTAATGTGTCTCTGACTTAATCAGTGTATCTGTTTAAAATTTGAGATGGACCCAGCCATGGTACCAGATGCTTATGATCCCAGCACGTTGGGGAGCTGAGGCAGGAATATCAAGTTTTAAGGCCAAAGTGGGCAACTTAGACCCAATCTCAAGAATAAAATTTAAAAAGGGCTGGGTATGTGATATTGTGGAGTGTGCCTGTTCTGGAAACTGAGTTGGGGGAGGGGGAGCTTTGGAAAATACTTGGAAGGGGTACACATGTGAAACTATTTTAAGACCACTGCCTTGCAATGTACATAGGAGTCATCAAAACAAGATCTACAGAAACAAACACATCAGGGCCTGCCAGGGGCTGGGGAGAAGAGCACACTGGCAAGTAACAGAATTTTTTGCAGAAAAAAAACGTCCTAGAACTGACTTGTGGAGATGGTTGTACAACACTGGATATACTGAAAACCACTGAATTGTAAACTTTATGTGAATTGTACTATATGTAAATTACATCACAATAAAACACTAAAATAACTGAAAACAGCTGGACAAAAGTAGCTGGGAGCAATGTGTTTTCTAGAAAATATAATAAAACTGCCTCACAAGCAGATCTCCAAGTCACTCTCTCACTGTGGAGTAAATGCACTTAGACTCTACCTTCTGCTCATGGCCCAGGTTACTGGGAAACCTTTCTCTCTCAGCTGTACTGGCGTGCACTGCCCATACCACTTTGGCTGAGGCCTGTTCCACTTCTGCCACCTGATGCCCAGAAACAGCCCAATAAGGAGTGCAAGGGACTGGCTAGGGCAGCGGTGGTGAACCTCATGGGTTATCTGGATCACTGCAAGTTCTAAGAGGTTTGCTGTCACTGGCCCAGGGGCTCACACCGAGGGACCTGGCAGCTTCTGTCAGCTTAGCCGTGGGCCTTTGCCTTTTATGTCTGTGAGAAAAGCACAAGTGGACCAAAAATGAACAGCGCCAGAAGAGCTAAATGAAACGCCGCAGAGCGCTGAGTGACCATCTGCCTATGACTAGGAGGCGAATGTTCAATTCAGAGCAACGACAAGGAACCATCGCTAAGTCTGGTAATGCTTCATAGAAAAGTGACTTGAACTTACACAGCAGTCATTACCAACTGTCCACCCTGTTAGAAGAAGGTATAAAATATTGCCCAGTGAGCAGCAGTAGGACTGCCTTCCCTCAATAAAACACACACAATAGAATATGGTTGCAGTGAGAGATGACTATTCAGTATTTTCCAGCAGTCCAAATAACTTTTACTGAAACGTTTGTAAAAAGCAAGCGGGTTCCATTTACTATTTTGGATAAATTTTAGAGCTGAATGGCTGCAACAGCCTGACTTCCATTCTGAGACCATCTTTGAGAGCTGGCCTGACTTGTCCTTGCCTTAAGTGGCTGGATGACTGACAGAGCCCACCCTGCATGGGACACTTCACCTTGCAGAGAACTTACCAGGAGCTCTGGAGGCCCATCTTCTGCGTCCTCAGCTGACTGTTCTTCTCCAATTTTACTATTAACAAAGGAGAGAATGCTTTCTTTATTGGAAATTCTCATAGCGAGAGTGTACACTGATCAGTATCACCCAGAAAATTTACCCGAAAACACATGCACACCCGAGAGCAGCTTGTTAGGATGCTTGCTTTCTGGAAACAGAAAGCACCATTCATAATTGTAACTGCAGATGAAGAACTGTTCATAATAAAAACACAAGTTTCTCCAACATATAGAGCAGGGCATGGTGGTACCCATCTGTAATTCCAGCACTCAGGAGGTTGAAGCAGGAGGATCACTGCAAGTCTGAGGTCTGCCTGGACTATATGGTGAGATCCTGTCTCAAACCCCCCACTCCCAATCTACATGCAAACATGCAGCTTTGTGCATTCTGAGTGTGAAGTGCAACCTGATGACTACTCTGGATGTGTCTATAAAGATATGGCCACAAAACAACATTAACTGTGGAACATATAAGCTAAAACATGATTTTATGTTTTTGGTGTTGGGGACTGAACCTAGGGTCTGATGTATGCCAGGCAAATGCTACATATACTCTAGTCCTAAATCAAAGGTTTTCAGGGAGTTGTTTTTTTTTAAAAATTTCAGTTAGTAGGTCAAAATACAGTTGTTTTTTCCCTTCCCATAAAACAATTTAGTCCACTTCAAGGAATTACAAACTAAGGCACTTTATCAATGCTTCAAAGGTTCAATGCACACTCAGTAGCTCTGAAGCCAAGGGACTTTCTTCATTTTGTTTTCAGCCTGGCCTAGAACTTGCAGTGATTCTCCAGCCTTGGCCTCTTGAGTGCTGCTGGGGTTACAGATATGCATTACCACTCCTAGTTTTTTAGGGAGCACTAGGGATTGAATCCAGGGTTGTCACATGGTGCTGCATATACCTTATTTTTTGATGGAGGGTCTAAGTTGCTATGTTGCCCAGGATGAGCTTGAACTTGCAATCTTCCTGCCTCAGCCTCCCAGAGGGCTGAAATTACAGGCATGTGCCACCATGGCTGGCTCTCCTCAGAGCAGAGAGAAACTACAGGGAACCCCAGGGAACACAAGGCTCACAGCAGGGGACACCTTGTCCTGTTTACAAAGGTCTCTCCAGCTTATAAAAGCTACAGTTGGGAGCTACCATGTGTAGAAGTAATAGATAAAATCACAGGAGAGCAAATGGCACAGGACCTCAGCAAGAACAGTCCTGCTGATGTGCTCCTATGAGAGGAGAGCAGCCAACACCTTCAATTCTTTTCTACGGTAGGTGCCTAAACTACAACTACCTGGATGTGCGTGTTTGTGCGTGTGAGCTCCCCCCCCC